TTTTCTTTGTCCGATGGAGCTGAAATTATATTTACCATCTAGTTTAAGGTGTTGATGGACATGGAATGCAGTGATATGAGCATGTATTTTACAGCAACCAAGAGTGTAAATCATCTTTTATTCAAAGGATGGCATATTTCATCCATTGGTGGTTAGTATAAACTGTATTTTATTAGTAGTACCCTAACCCATGAAAGCATTTACTGCAGCTGAAATAAAAGAAAACAATCAAAATAATATCTACTGCAAACTAGAAGTCTACTGTCTATTTTATGTGTTMATGACTCTAGGCCTGAAGGCTGATCGATCATACAACTATTTCAAAAAACGTCGGGGCGAACGGCGATTGTCGAAGGGAGATTGCACGACCGAAAGGGACTATGGTTACACTGTTTTGATAAACAAAATTCCACCTATTGGATTCACCTTACATAGAAATGGAAACTAAATGAAGCCAATGTTAGCACAGACCATCTTACAGTACAAATCAGTTGCTAGCAGAACCCATGGGTACTTTCGGTCGTGCATTCGTCGTTCGACAATTGACATTGGCGCCATTTTATCCGACAACCTTGTGGAAATAGCTATATAATACATTCATGTTTTGGATTCTTGAAAGKTATCATGATGTGGAGATAATTATGTTAATCGTGACACTGAGTATTTGTGTTAACTATTGGATTGGTGCAGGTTTTGAACTAATAAGCTTGAATGGCCATACGTCAGGCGTATCTTCGTTTCAAGTTGTGAGGGACCTTCACAACTGTACTCAATACTCCATTTTCGAATTCAAAGCGAATAACCGATGCTTTATTTGACAGCAGATTCTATTACGCAAAGAACTTACCAAACACAAAAGAAAGCACGAGAAAATGTTGTAAATACAATAGAGCTAACAATTTACCTTTTACCCGAGTTGAGGCTAACACTGTATTCCCAGAAGGTTCATACCTTAGGTCTTGTGGGAATACAGGGTTAGTCTCAACTTGGGGAAAATGCAAATTTTCAAGGCCATTGTAATAACAACATTTTTTCGAGCTCTCTTTTGTGTTTGGTCAGGTCTTTGCGCAAGAGAATCTGTTGTCAAATAAAGCAGCGTTTTTTTTCGCTATGAATTCGAAACTGGAGTAATGAGTCCCTCATCTTCCTTACTATCAATGTTATTTTCATTATGTATTTTCTGAATTAAAAATAGAATTTTGTCCTGTCTGTATTTCTTGAATAGATATGATCGGAACAATGGCTGCCGCATTCCTGTTTGCTGTACTTTATGAAGCCTTAAAAGCAGTTGTTGCATATCACTACAATAAGCCATTACCCAAACATGGTCATCAAAAAAACAATCAAGAACAAACACCTCTCGTCTCAAGTGAATCAATAAATCACATAGAGCAGTAAGTACCMGATACATACAGTGCTAACTAATGTAATAATTACTTAATTACAAACTATTGTCTGTCAGCTCACTGACTAAACCTAATTACAAAAACATTGTCCACGAAAAAGGGACTTTTGCTATTTAAGTCATTAATCAACCTTTTTTGTCTGTTAATGTATTCCTAAGTTCCTAAATCTCCCAGGACAATGCCGTTTACCCTATTCAAGACGCGAAGGCCTAAAACCATACATATTTGCCCACGTATTGTAAAAAAAGGAGAGTGTCTCCCAGGGTTGTCTGGTGAAATAGAAGTAATGGAAAGTTGAAGTGCTTAGAACGCTGGTTATTCCAAGCGAAAGACAATGCCGACCTCGCTGGTATTCGAACCAACCATCTTCGTATATAAGTGTACTACTATAATGCTCTACCAGCTGAGATATAATATCAGACATGGAAAAACTAGGCCGAAAAAGATGTCAGGTCTGCTCCCGGTCTGACCATGTARCTAAGCTAGTAGTAYAAATCCGAAGGTCGAATCCCAGAGAGGTCGGGAATTAATTTATTAAAACTTATTTTCAAGGGTCCTTTCGCCCGGAATAACCAACTCCTTTCCAAGCACTGCAATTTYCCATTACTTTGTATTTCATCTATTTCCCAGTGCCACACAGTCTACATATTCATATCTTTTGATTGGCTAAGTATCTAAGTATCTAATAAACTGATTTATATATTATTTACATGTAAGACAATAAAAAAGTTAAAAAACAGTTAAGGTATGATAACTGAAAGCAACTAAATGGAACCAGCTACAAAGAAACTCTCAACTTTGGCTGTATCGTTTAGTAAACGTTAGGGTCAACCACCGGTTTCAAACTGAGTTTATTCATCGTAGATGTTTTTCGAAGTCTAGTGAATTACAGTGATTAARGGAACAAGAGAACTTGGAAAAATCTCCCTCCCCCCTGGGAGGGGCTCACCAAGTACTAGTGTGAACATGGCATTTTTTCAATTTAGATAGGAAAAAATCCAAATCAGTTCAATCGGTAGAGTTTCGTTGTTTAGAAACATAGCGTGGAGTACGGTTTGAGAAATTGTRAAGTGTTTTATTATGATTAGGACATAAATGAAGAACTGTTAGATTTGCGTGACATTTTGTCAGATCACGTAAGGTTAGATTTTGTAATGGTCACTAATTTCGCCAATTATTTTAAGGTTTTCTTTATTGTCAGACGTTTCGTCATTAATAAACCCGTCACAGACAACTGGAAAGCAAGGGTGGCCGAGAGCGCTGGCCTGTCACCTCTGTGGCCCAGGTTCGATTCTGACTTGGGATCATATGTAGCTTGAGTTTGTTTCCGTTCTCTCCCTTGCTTCGAGGGTTTTTTCTCCGAGTTYTCTGTTTTTTCCTCCTTCAGTAAAAACCGAACATTTCGATCCTTGCCGTGCTCCGTGATCAGGTATGGATCGGTCGATTGGCTAATTGAGGGAGGGAGGGCGATTAGCTATCACCGAATTGATGCTTGACGAAGTTATTTCTTTTTAGGGGTACAAAAATGTAAAAGGAAATATGATTTCGATAAGTTGTTTGATAACTTGTATTGTTAACGTAACATTCTATTTGAATGTCTCGGATATGACCGAATTTAACTTGAATTACAATATCAAACAGAGCTCAAAGACAAGAATTAAGGACGTTTATTGCTTTCTTTTTTTCAGTTTTAGATTAAAAGATCACAYCATCAAAACCATCATCTATGTAGCCAACCTCGTGTATGCATACATATTGATGCTTGTTGCTATGTCATACAATGTCTGGTTGTTCTTGGCTCTTGTTCTTGGACTTGGCTTTGGTTATTTCTTCTCTCAGCCTTTGTTTCAATCATTCTTGATCACTTCCAAAATAAAKAGATTTAAATCATATGGCTCAACACATGGAAACTTATAGAGCCATATAAAGGTGCAATGTGCTGATAGACCAATTAATAACGGCATCTAGAAATAAATGRGTAATGATTCTCAAGTTAACAGGGTCGTGAATTGTAGAGGAACGAGCTTGAAAAAACGTTTGCAGAGCTAATTCTTAAAATATATATAGGCTAGAGTTGAATTATCAGAKAAGTACTCATCAGTATTATTATACTTTGTTTCATGTATATTTTTTATCAAGAGTTCAAGAATCTCAAGTACTTACCGTTTCATGAAGCTGTGCATCTTTGTTGCATGTCGTTACCTGACAGAACGCTCTACGAGCGTCAAGTAAAAAATAAATCAAGCGAAAAAAAACCGTGGTTGTTACTAGTGACATTTGTATACAATATTCTAAAGTTATGCATGTAGAATTAGCAGGAAATGGTAAAGGACAGCGTAACAGGGTGTGCCAAAAATTTTCTAGAATTTTTTTTTTAGTTCAGCATAATTATTGTAAGTAATAGTCTCATTCTATTTCATTTTACTGTATATCAGTTTTTACAAAAAAAAACGTCGATCGTAGCAATTGCAGATAATCTTACAATAGAATACATCATATAGTTACAAACAGAAGAGAGTATTTTGATTATTCCAGATCAGACTGAAGCCATAAAATGAAATAAGGTATATTAAATAAGATATAAATTGAAGTCAAAATTACAAAACTCGATCATCCATTGCGCCATAATGATATAGTCGAGTATTATTTCAAACCGATCACATCGTGCTTTTGTCGACAGTTTCAGTAATAAAAAAAACATTAGCGAAACACAATTCTGCGAAGAATTGTGGAGCAAATATCTTGCAAGCAATACAGGTTAAGACAGCTTATGGAAATTATACCAAACATAGCCTTTTTTAAATTCTATGGTTGTATGTAAAGGCAAATATAATATAGAAATGAAATAAAGTTATAGTGCTTAGAAGGAGGCAATTCCGGGAGAAGTCCCTTAGGAATAAATTCGAAAAATTAATTTCCGACCTCGCTGGGACTTCTCCCGGAATTGCCTCCTTCTAAGCACTATAACTTTCTTTCATTTCTATWTCGTGTTTATCATAGTGCCATGCGGTCTACATATTCATATCTTTGTAAAGGCAAATATCGAAAGAAAGAAAACCAATATTCCCACGGTATTGATCAGTACAGGAAATACCGGTATTATCTACCCGAAACAAAAGATGTCCCCTTATACGATGTCCCCTTATACGAGAGAAAATGAAATTGGGAGAAAGAGGCCTCGATTATTTGTCAATGAATTCGTGAGTGATCAGGCGGAAATTAATATCAGAAAAATCTACGGAGATGCTATGGATGGGACATCATTCTATGCGTAACACGAGTTGTTCTGACAATTGACGAAATGAGCTAACCTAAAAAATCACTAATTGTCTATCTGCTGCTTGAATCGATTTTTTCAGGTTATTCCATTCGCCAGTCAGCTAACATCACCTCAAGTTCTATCTTACGGCCCTGATCGGTCCAAGCCTTCTGTGCTTTTTATGGATGGATCTATGGACGGTTTAATTAGGGGCGACCTATCGGGTTCGCGTCTCAAACATTAACGGCTGCGGAACAGAACTATCATCTACATTCTGGTAAGCAGCGCCGTAGCCAGAGGAAAATGTGAACCGAGGCACTTTATGCGACCGGCGGAAGCGGTCATATCTAGGGGGTTCGCTGGCATGCTTCCCCGAAACATTTTGAAATTCAGACACTCGGAGAACGTGATTTACAGCGTTTTGCCAAGCATATTGTGACTTTTTTATCTTACACCATTGATCGAACTTTTTTTATTTTGGATACGAATTAAAGCTGAAACTCGATAAAATTTTACCGAGGCAAGTGCCTCGCTTGCCTGATCGTAGCTACGGCGCTGGTAAGTTGGAATTCTTGGCTTTAAAATGGTCATATTGTTCGATCATTTCCGTGATTTTCTGTATTAGTACGCACCACATTTCACAGGGCAACAACGGTATCATATTTTCAAATTACAGCAAAGTTGAATGCTGCAGGACACCTTTGGATTGCGGGACTGACTTTGATTTTGGTATGAAATATCATCCTGGAGTTCGAGGGTGTCAATGGGGTTGATAGTTAACTGACTTTTGGCTTAAAAATTTGTAGTCAACTTACTTTTTACCCCCAAAATAGTAGTTAACTAACTAATGAAAATCACTTATTTAACTGACTTTCTTACTAACATTTAATTCAGGCGCGTAGAGTCCTTTACCCATATACGCACGTGCGCACTAGTGGGAAGGAAATATTAAAATTTTCGGGATCTGATTCCTTTTATATGCTCTCGATGCCCGTCAAAGCGCTGAAATCGCATTTCCAATAGTTATTATTTCAAAATTTCCCGGGGAGGACCCCCCGCGGCCCCCCTGAATGCTAACGCCATCGGAGGTGGTTAGCCCCACAATCCAAAATATGTGTCGTGGTACCGGCCATTTGCGTATTAGCCAAAAAGTCCACGCTACGCGCCTTTTAAAAATCTACTGTCCAACAGTTTTTTGGGTCTTATAACTGGTCACTGTTTGAGTAGTCAAGCTCCAATGCACATATCACGTGTGAGAGATCTTTTCAACACTCGAAGATAAAATCCGTATCTCCGCCGCGCCCATGTAATATCCTCTATTTATTCACAACAGCCCGTGCAAATGCAAGAGATTTGTGAGTGTAGAAGACAATGGAAATAGTTTGAAATCTCACGAGTTTTATCAACATTTCTGAATATTTTAGCACACAATTGAGGCTAACACAGCGTAAAAGAGATCGCGAAACTCGACTATTCATTTTATACGCATAAAAATACAATATTTTTAMTACCGGAACTGAAAGCATGAAATTAGCATAACAATAGATATCCCATAATGCCTTGCAGTGTATAAATAAGCGTTATCTGCACGCTTTGTTCATTCCGATTCAAACCACGGACACATACTGGTTTAATTCGCCCACCCACCCTATCCCCGACATGGCGTGGAACCTACAACACTCATGGATATACCGCTGTCCACTTTCTTGGCCAGCAGTCTTTACAGACCTGTCCTTATCTCATTGTATATTCATGTGTATTCACTTGTGTATTGTAGGTAGTGATAATATTGTACTATTATTGTAGTTGGCTTGTGCATCCTTTGCTCATTTTAGATCGTTGTGTGTCGTTGTGGGTCATTTTCTAGCTCGTTGTGTCTCGTTTGGCTCGTTTTGTGTTTTTATAAATACAACAATAAACTCGCAAGTCACGTGTTTTATCGGTATCGTCTTCGGCTCGAATCTTTATACCAGATAAAGCACTCCTGCTCGTTTATTAAACAGTGCATAACGTCACAACTCGATGGCACAGCCGTGATGAGGTTTGATTCCCCCTCCCTCCCTCCGTAAGTGTTGTACGTTATGCATTGCTACCGTTGTATGACGAAAGAATATTTCGTCTGCTTGTTTACAGTGCCAAGGCAGGACAGCATTGTTGTTTTTTAAGACTTTAAAAAGACTTTCRTGGTCAGATGACGTTTTCCCCTGAGCAGTTTTATGTTCTATTTCGACCTTGGAGGATCACCTCGGACAAAGGTATTGAATACAAATATAAATTAAGGCTTATCTTTTCACTTTTGTCTTCTAAACCATAGTATGTCTAAACATATCAAAGAACAACTCATTAAACAATGCCTCAATCATTCCTACATAAATATGATAACACAAGCTAACGATGACTCCTTCTTGTAATTGCATTTCGCTGAGATCCTTTGCCTCGAAGTGTTGACATTTACAGCTGTGCAGTGAAATGTCAGAAATGTACTGTGTGTTAAAAAAGTCAATAACAACCTTAGAAATCCTACGGGCTACATTGCTCGTTTCTGAATGATTTTATACACTTGACACTCATGGAGCTGGAGTAATTATTAGAACAGGGTTCGGAATCATACTGTCTAGTAGTATWAGTGTTCTCCAAAGACGTTGTTCCTATGACGTTAACCATGGCTATCGATCCTGTCTTAAGTCAAAGGTATTTTGTTTCAATCTTAAGTTGCTTCCCTTCATATTTGGACTATCTTCGGCAGATTGGACAAGTTTCGGTTCATTGCATTCTTGCATATTTTGCATAAATTAGCTACAGAAACAATTTTATGGTTAGTTAAGAGTACAAACATTAAATGTGTGCAACACTTCCCACTATTTACTACAAAACAGTGTTAATCAAACAATAGAAAACAATAGAATTAGCAAAACTTAGCAGTATTTAATGGTATTTATGTTTCACAGTTTTAGTGTTTGTACTCTAGTTACTACTTTTTTTTAATAAAGCAAAATTGCGTATTAGAATAAACGAACAAATCCATCCTGTTGCATGCAAGGAAAGGCAAACAATTTCAAGATCACTGGTGTTGGGCATCGCATCAAATCAAGTCTCGAATACACCATCAAAAGGGTTCATGATTCAACTATTATATATGTAATTATATAGCCACATATTAATCCCAAATAGGTAAAAGCTGGATTTTTCGTTAATTTTGGAATCCTGTCCAATTAAGAAATTAATTGGACAGGTTTTCAATTGGGTTTTTGTTAAAAGCTGTGGTTGGCTTTTACCTATTTGGGATCAATATGTGGCTATATAATTAATAGGTAATAAGACTCCATGCTGTCCAATTAAGAAATAATTAGACTCGAAAAATTCCTCTGACTGCCAAATTGGACTCGGCCACGGCCTCGTCCAATTTTTGGCAGTCCTCGGAATTTTCCTCGTCCAATTATTTCTTAATTGGACAGCATGGAGTCCTATTACATATAA